TATAAGGGAAAAAAGGAATCTGACTACGCATTTTGCTACAAGAATTTATTGCATACTCATGGAAGATACATTGGATAGAGAATTAGGATTCCTCAAAATAACTTTTGCTCAGAACGAAAACTTAACCTCATTTGTAGATAAATATATGAAAGAGGAACCTGATGCACACAAATTGATAGTGCCTACAAAATACCTATGGATGAATCTGAAGTTCATGAGCGACATAGTAAGTCAAGTTCTACAGGCTCGTTTATCCAAAGTAGTTTGAAGAACACTCTTTGTATTATTTTTGCGTGAAAATGTTTCCACTTAAGTTTATTAATAAGTAAAACAAAAGGTCCCACTATTGGCTACATCCATTTGTGCATGTAAATTTACTTGCTCCTATGGAGCTAGGTGCCTAGGCCGTATCAACAGGATATTATCAAAACGTGATCTCGAACATTTATAGACATGGTCATCGAAAACAGAATCCACATCGATAAACAGTTCTATTTTGTAACATATATCCTCTTATGATAGTCAGGCAGAATCTGTACGTAGCTTATTGAATGTGATATATAAGATGAAACCAAGCTATTCAAGGGTATTTGCATAACATCCGCTTCTTACAGAGTAAGCTCAGGCTATCCACGAAGAGAAATCTGAACTCTGTGTACACAAACAATTTGTTCGGCTTCATTTGTTATCATGGCTTTAGTTCCGTAACTATTTGGCTTTTACTTCATAATTTTCTCTCCAACCCACTTCCACTCCCTTTATTACAGACTAACTTGCAGACTGAAATTCTTCTCACTACTCTATTCATCATAACGTATTCCCCGAACCTCATCTTGATGGAAAAGGATAGATATTTCTGAGTTCCGTTCATAATTGAATGTCTTCATATTTTGTTAGATGAGATAGACTTGTTATCTGCTATATTTTACTATTTTTATCAATGCGCTAATCTTTGACCCTTGTTTGCACTATTCATGATACTTAAGCTATTATCCATCATACAGCTATGATGAGAAGTTATGAAAAATGTCCAACCTGTTGATCAACGTCTCTTTAATCCAAACCATCTAGGCAACTTGCAAGAAATAAATGAACCTCATAAAAAATTCACACTAGAGAAAAAAATACACGAACATCATTATATGTCACTACCTGAGACAAAATCATTTAATTTATCCAAAGTATTATACAATGAACTAAAACAGTATCGATGGGAGTCAATATTCAGTTATTTTCGGAACACAGTCCCTGAAGAAAATGTAAAACCTGAAGATAGAGAACGATAAAAAATATTGTGTCTTTTGATACAGCTTCACTTTTCACTTCAATTATATGAAATATTGCCAAGAAACAATTAGTATGCGTCTTAGTGACGGCGACAATACTCTAAAGTAGGCGGAAAACAAGGGTACAAACTTGATAGAACTAATCAAGCTATCTCTCATCGTCTACAAAGAAATTTAAAAAGACTATCAGGTGCTCCCCAATATCCGAAATGACCAGTAAAGCCATGATTCAGAGATTAGAATCAGTAGTCCTTTCAATGATTAAACTGAAGCTATGAATTCCTTATGTCGATGACGTTTCTGTAGACATGAAAACCAATGAACTAGAAAACACATCCAACCTTATTAGTCGAACATTTAAAAATATTCAGTTCACAAAAGAAGAAAATATTGCAACCGTATTCCTAGTTGTCTTTATCAGAGGAACACGTGATGAAACTTTACAGACTCAAGTGTACAGAAAGTTGACGCACACAGATTAAATTTAGAATTGAAAAGTAATAACCCAATGCCTAATAAGAATCTTTGTGTACAAGCATTATTCATACATGCAAAGATTCATTGCAACACTTGGCAACTACGCTAACCAGAAGACAGCCACACTTCCAAAGTATTGATAGTAAATTAGTATTCAATTAACTTAACGACTGACAATATCCAGGCATACGCCAAGTAGCCCACATGCCAATAGAGACCGAAAGATTCGGTACACTCAGAGATGGAATAATACAAGCAACAATATATCAGCAGAACACTCGTCGGGACACTCACCTCAACCTACAAAATGAATCACTTTACCACACATAAGATATGTCTCAGAAACTCTCAACTGGTCACTTCACCCATTCTGTATTAGTGTTGAGCACAATCAAACAAATACTTGCAGAACATCTTGTGCAAGCTGAAGGATCCACTACTCAGTAGGGACACAATGAATATTATCTGAGATATTAGTTGTAGAGACTGTCAACATCATTATGTTGATCAATCCAGTCGTAGAATAGCTCAAAGAATTTTGAGCATCAACTAGTAGTCAAGTCAAATAATGTGTCATCACTGATACTCATAAATGTAGATGCAAATAACCACAACTTCGATTGGGATAAAGTGGAAAACACCACTTCGAATAAACTGAAGAGATGGAAGAAAGTTTTTGAAAGCACAGTACTCCAATCAAACGGCAATCATCAAACCGGTGGACTACTAAAATACTGATCAACCAACTAGAAACCAATCGAGCAAGTCTGGAATCAGACATCAGGTTGAATGATAAAGACAGTTACAAACTATTTTGAGCAGCTGAGATAGCCGTGGTTTGGCAGACTAGTGTTGATACTAGGTGATGACTGAAGGTGAGATGAAAGTTTTTGCAGCTGCCGGATTCGAACCACCGACCACCGGGAGGAAATCTGGAAGTAAATCTTGATGGAAGTCTCACAGCCTGGTAATGAAACTTTCTAGAACGAACGTAAAAGCTTGAAGAACACCAAAAAGCTATTATCCTTATCCTAAGTCCCAAACTTTTTCTACTATCTTAGAAACTAAGTATATAAGGTGAAAGTTGTAATAACTCAAAATAAAATGCCTTTCACTTGTTATAACGTATTCAATCAAATGAAGTTACGAAGATCATAAGATACTGGAACGTTTTACCTATTACTTGATTTCTAATCCCCGTCGCATAAGGTATTAATCAGGCTTCTGTGTAGTGGATATCAAAATTTAGGAACTCAGTTAAACTTACTTTTTATACTTTTGTAACTTGTCTTAAAGCTGGGTTTCCACTTAGCTACCTTACAGTAAAACTCTGATAACTTAGGTTCAAATACCTCAAGATTTCATGCAGCTTCTAACTGTCTGTCAGTCAATACGTTACAATGAGCGGGAAATGAGTTATAAAGGCGGAAATACTAAGGTCAGTCTTTCTTTTAATTGCGATAAGTAGACGGCGAATAAGGTGATACTTGTCGGCAATAAAAAAACAGCTGAAAACAATAAGCTACTCTAAGGCAGTGTATAGAATTTTTAAGATGTGTACTTGATAGTTTTGTGTTTTCTATACTGGATGACTTAAGTACGTGATGAATAAAGCAATCTATCTCAGAGAACTCAACAGTACGATAATCTACTTTAGAAATCATATTAGGCAGAGGTAAACTCCTGACTTGTTGAAGAGGAAACAAAAAGACAATTTGCAAATAAGCCTGAAAAACATACCTAATATAAAATCATGCTTAATTAATGTCATGACAGACAGATTAAATAAATTCACAGCGGTAGGATTCACTTCAAACCATTGTAACAAGTTTCGAAATAGTAATTCCTTCTGTTGCATTGTATTGAAGCCAGCAAGTGTCTCCTAATTCCCATAAACAAAAATGAGTGACATTATGGATTGATATAATCTCACTGTTGAACATCGTTGAAACTTCGATCATTCAGGTTTTCCATCCACCAATATTACAAGTAGATGTAGATGAGTTTGTGGATGTCAGGAGAAAGTCTTGAAGCCATCTCAGATGAGATAGGTATGCTGTCTATTTAAATTGTTCATCTTCCTAAGGCAAAGCACTACAATTAACCTTGACATTACTTAATGATCAGCGACTATAAATCTGTAGGACGTGCATAAAATTAGTTTAGTCATTCCGTAAGCAACAAATGAAGTAATCTTTTCTTGCAGTATAGTCCGATAACACTGAATTATTTGAAGCATGAAACCTTTTTAAGTGTTTATATAGTAAACACTTTCATATAATTCTACTGTTTTCATCATTATTACACAGCCATATGCCAGCTTGCTGACGAATGACTTTATGGATTAGGAATAACAACCCCATTGATAAATAACTTGTACTCCATTGAACTACTTTTTAAGTGTAATAAAACTGTTCTTTTCCAGATAAGTGTTTCTTCAATATTGAAGCATATGCTGTTAGATTCGAATCCACCACATCTGTTATCTTGTATTATGTGAAATCTGCTCCAAATGTCTCAAATAAGTCATCTAGGTCTATTTAAATTTTTAATTCTTGAATAAGAGCAGTTACATTCTCCTAACTTCTGACATACTTCGGTGAAGCAAACGTAAAAGACAGATAAGTACAAAATAATATTAAATGAATGTAATAATATAATGAGACATTATAGTTGAAAAATTGGTATAGTTACTTGCGAAATTAAAGAAGACATAAGACGACAACTTGATAGGACTTATAGACATGACTTACTAGTTCAGTTACTGGATGACTATTTACTGAATACCGAATAGGATTATTGAGAAGCTGGGAGGTCAGGTATATCAAATTACCACGAAAGCCCTCAGAATATTTGAGCTGTTTTACAAATTTAACACATCAGTCGATCAGCACAAACTGGGTTACTGTCTGAGATTGACCAGTAAGCAAAAGGCTAAACAACTTTAGTATCATGAGTGAATTTGTTAAGATATTACTCAGGTTATATACTTAGACAGTTATTTTGAAAAGCAGTCTAACATCAGAGATTAGACCCTGGAGATTAAATACTTGGTTGCTCAGTTAACTATGTTTAGAAGCTGTAGACACTACATGAAACCTTAATTTAGAACAAAAGTAAAATTGATTCCAAAACATTTCTAAATCGTTTTTTCTTGGTGAATTCTCACGTATCTAAGTCATTAGTCATTTATAAACATTGTTTAACTAATACAGCCAAATATATCAAGTGACTTACCATTTGTCGAATACAGATAGTTAGAATATGATGCTAAGTGAGAGGCTGCAATTAAACCAGGATGTATAGTTTGCTTATTAAATGGTACTTTATCGAGTAAGGTCCATTTGTTTGACATTTCTCGCTTCCAAAAGCTGCATAATATACCTAATTCTTCAAAGTAAAGCGTGTTTGATTGAGGTAAAGGGTACTGACGAATCTGATTAACTCCACAAACAAAATAAATATCCATTTGATTGCCAATACAATTTTCCGATGTAATCGATGAGGATGTCTTTGAAGGAATATAAAAAGCTGATGTGATTTTGAATGCAGGATAGGGGTTTTTCCATTGTAGGACCTCATGAGATTGTCTGGATTCACAAAGGCTATTCACGTAGATGCTGTTTCTGTTTAAAGAAGAGAGAAAACTCATATATTTAAAGCCAATCTGTTAGTTGGTACATTATAATGCTATAATTAATTTTAATCATTCAAAATGGCAATTAGTTCTTTCTTTGGATCTCAGGTTTACCAAAATTATCCCTTTACTTCTGATTGTTGGTTTACTGAGCTAAACCGACCAATTACATACGAACTTCATTGGTTTCTGATAGAACAAAGCCACTCGTTCCGTTTTGATCAAATCACTATACTTCCTCAAACTATTGTCACATGAGAGACCGTTTACTTTGCCACAATCTGACATCTAACTTGGATACATGTAGAATTTTCATTATCCTTAGAGAAGGTGTCGAACATCTACTTCATATTATAGATCATTTAGATCTTTGTGACTTAAGCGGTGCAAAGAATGCGATTCTCGACCACGTTTGAAACAAAATGAACCATAAGACTCCAATCAGAAAGTTATGAGCTCAAACTTTAAGGTTGTCAAAGTAGGTAAAATACATCAACACATCAGTTTATGCATTTTAACTGACGTGTGACTCGGCACTAGCTTATGTTTCTCGCTCATTAGCTATCCTTCTCAACAAAAACTTGATAACATTCTTCAGAATCTCCACTTAGCTATCCGAACTCAGCCGAAGACTGTCCTTAAAGATCTGCGGTGTTACAATACTACCCTCAAACGTCTAAAAATCATTACAGTTCACAGATCTCCGTCTCCATGGTATGAAAAGTTCCTTCCGGAATGTCACAGAGACAAATGTCTTTCCAGATGTTGTTAAGTAGGGACTAATAAAAGTAATCAGCGAAGAACCAGATTGCTACTGGTTTAACAATCCTTGATTTCATATTCCAATGTCATCTCTACTCCTAGATAACATTAGGCTATCATGATGGACAAGTCTTGATATCCACTACAATTCATCCTAATACCCGTTAATCAATTTTTTTTGATGGCTTGCAGTCCTTAGTTAAAGGATTTTTGTTTCATAATATGATTATCTTCATTTTTTATATTTTGTTTGTGCTTTGAAGTTTCTTTAGCGGTTAGATTTGTTTTACGGGGTAGGGTTGCTAGCCCTATGCCCAACGTCAAGTCAGTGCTTCTGTATGGCTCAGAGACTTGGCGCGTCACGAAAGGGATTTCCAATAAACTACAGACATTCATCAACAACTGCTTACGCTCGCTACTGAAGCTCAGATCGGAAGGCCAGAAAGAATAAGCAACAAGGAGCTCTGGGAACGAATCAACCAAGAACCTATCATGCAACAAATATGCAGGAGGAAGTGGAGATGGATTGGACCAGGCATACACTAAGAAGGCCGACTGAGGACATCACGCGTCAGGCCCTCGAGTGGAATCCCCATGGGAAGCGACGAGTTGGACGTCCCAGGGTGACATGGAGGAGGTCGTGCGAGGATGAAATGAGAGGTTGTGGGCTGTCGTGGAACCAGGTTCAAAAGATCTCAGAGAACAGAGGTCACTGGAGGCGTGCTACTGAAGCCCTATGTTCCACTAGGAACCCAAGGGACTAATAATAACAATAATAATAATAGTAATATGATTCTTTCCTATAGAAATAGGGAAAAAATGTCTGCAGCTAAAAATGATAAAACTGAAGTAATTCTTCTTCTAATTTATCATGACCAACCGGTTCATCTTTTACGATGTCTTGATAGCTGCGTAAACAAACTGATGATTACTTAGGTTCCCTAAAAATGAAAACCCTTTGGTAAATAATACACCCTGGGTTTCATTAGTCAAAAGCCATTATATTGTTATTATAAGTCTCCTCCCTACATAACAGTAGAGTTGCGGATGTATACTTATGACTAAATATTTTAAAGATAATAAATAGAAATGCTTTGGATTAATCGTATACACCCGAAACTATTTGTTCAGAATATAATGGATGTAACTTTTTAACTACTCCAGACTACTTGATCTTGTTTAATGACTGGATACCATATTTCCCATACTTCACATACCTCTAAACAGTGACGAATCATTTACTGGAATTTGAGATTATTTATTTCAAGATAGCATTCATTTTGATCTGACATCTAGTGATGAGCTGTGACTTGTAGGATCAAGTAGTAGGAAGTGAAGTGGATGCCAGCCGAAGATCTTGATGGATAGTCGTGCTATTTCGCGAATCGATAGAACTAAGAAACTGTGAACCAATTAACTTAGACCCAGTGGTTAACTGTTTTATGCATTCACCAATAGATCTGAAGGTCCTCAATAAGATTCACAAATAGATCGTGAGTGCAAACTACTGATAAGTTTCCTACTAGGATGAAGTAGCTGTCCAGTGCTCAAAGGTTTTCAGTGGTCTTCCAAACAATGTCAGTTAGTGATGAATACTACCTTGAAATGAATAATGTATTGTTTTAAGCCATGATTTTTGTTACACTATTATAGAAAAACTATGAAATGATATCAACTCGCAATATTTGTCTTCTTAATAGCTTGTTTAAACTTATAAAAGGACCAACAAGTTTCAGATAAAATATTAATTATTTTAGGTTTTCAACTACGCATCGTCAAGAAGAAAAAAAACTACAGTTCGTTGTTATTATAGTAGAGATAATTTTAACATACATTCACTTTAAAATTGTCTATTAATTCAAATTTATTTATTTATTTGTTCGGGTCAATCAAACAATGGATGCTTCATATCACAGTACAGATTGCTAGCGTGTGAAGAACAGTCATTATTACCACTTTGTTATTTCTTCAAACAACTCTTACAAGATTGATAGGAGTTTACAACAAACCATTTTTATGCAGCTATATAAAAAATTGGTAAGCTAAGCAAATAAAATATCGCTTAGGAACTAATAAATGAGTGACAACCTTTGTTTGAAACTTCTTTTAACACCAACATTTGGCGACAACAGGAGGAACAGTTTAAAGAGTGAAGCTACGCTTCCTTCCTGCCTTTAAAGTTTCTATAAATTTCGACTTGTTGATTTTGAACGGCTTAGATAGCATATTAAATTCATTTACAAGCATTTCAATTTTTTAGAATTTCTTCATCCTCAAGATGCGAACCCAAAAACAGTAGGACATCTTGTGTCATATTGCTTCTATCAAAACAATTCCATAAGAATAACGAAAGGATATGTGTAATACAGTAAACATAGAAAATCTTGACAAGACATTTACCAGCATATTTTATACCGATGGGTCAAGATAAGCAGTAAATATCAGTAAATAGAAGACCATAGTTCAATTATTTGCTTATATGTGGATAAATAAATTCGCATGATATTCTTATAAACTTCACAAGAAGCTCATATCTGTGGCTAATTAGTCAAAATTAAAGTCTTTCAACTAGTGAATATGATATCACTTATTTATATTTCCGCTCAGCTAGATACAGTTACTTAATAGATGGCTTACTATCGGTGAAAGGATTTGAAAAGTTAAACTATTATGTGTTTTTGCTTCAGTATCAAACATATAATTGACAATACTTAAATTATTAAAATCAAGTTGTATTTCAAATACGACATATTTTATCAAGAATTGTTTATTTATCAAGAGGTGAAGAATGTCCAAAGCTCATCTTATGCAATATGAATCGACTCTCGTGAGATGAATTTCAAAAGTTCTAACGATATTCGCCGATTACGCTGAATAATGGTCCTACTCAATATAAACTGAACAGAGTTAGAAAATATGAACCATCGTACTCTAACACAGTGGTTGAATAGTAGCGTACTCTCTATGAGACCTGGAAGTTTGGAGATCTGTTTTCCAAGAGATAGTGAGCGTACATTATTGATGAGCTACACAGTCGGGCGAAACATTACTACCACTTCTTCCGTGTTCTTTCAACTAATGTCAGCCCATGATAAAACTACCTTGAAATAGTAATCAGTTCATTACATTTCACTATATTAATCAAAGTGAGTCCCTTGGAAAATGATAACTTTATTCTGAACTAATTCAAGTAATGCTTACGTTTTAATCCATTAAACAGTACTACTTTTGTCTTGGTTAAAATGTCTCAGTCGAAAAAATTACTGTGGTCAACTAGAAGACTGATACCCAGTAGGTGTACGAATTCAGTGTGATAGCTACAGCTGTTAGTGGCTCACGGTGTACAGTGACCGAAAGCCATCCGAAAATAAACATTTCAATTAGACTAATACTGTCTGAATCCACAAATTGTGCCGCCAACCTATATTTATCCTCATTAAGGAAGCGGTTGAGTCCGTGGTAGAAAAGAACCATTCGTCTGGTAGGAAAATTAATAAAGTTTTAAATGATGATGCATCCAACGTAATATAGATTAAACCAGATAAAAGTTCAGTTGTAAGCAGTAATTAAGAGAATTGCCAGGATTCGATACACATGGTCGCAAGATATCAACTCGTCGTAAAAAGTAGCAATGGGCGTTACTCAGGTGGAAAACTAAAGCAGCTTAAACCCAGAATTCTGACCAATACTGTTAATTCAATGACCAAGGCTGATTGGATCGTAGCAAATTAATCTTCAGAGGAGCCTCCACCAAGTGTATTCGGTTTGACTGCCAAAATGATCAAACCATACAAGAAAGTTCCAAAACCTATCATTACAAGGCCCAAGGGTCCTCATCCAACATTTTGAGATGTCATCTTGTATCTCTAGTAACCGAAAAATGTAAACATCTTAAATTTCCGTACTCACGATTTAAATTTAGTTGAACGTATCCTTCGACACATCCCACCAGAAACATCGGTTGGAGTCCACACCTACAAAGTGATCATACTAAGTAGACAGGAATAAAATAAACCCAACCCTTACATGATCTTTAAACATAAAGAGACTCGGATATCATTCCGTTTATCGGCCAAAAGGTTTATGACTTAAACATTCATATCCATTCGAACTGGCTATTTGAGGACAGAATAAAGCAAAAGGTCAGAAAGATAAAACAGAACAGATCTTTGAATTAATGGCATTTCGAGTACTGAGATCTTGGAAACGAACGCTTAAAAGATCCATATGAGTAACCAGTGTAATGCCTAAAACATTTTAAAAGTACTATATGCTAACTCTTGTAATCTCAGAAAAAAAACATCAAAGCTGGTTTATTTTAGACGACGAAGAAAAAGGTCCGACCAAATAGCTATATTCCAAACTTATTTCGTCGAGAATATATGTGCCGCTTTTCTCTTCTTTGGGTACTTTTACTTTAGGCCTCATAGAATATCCAGACCTAAGGATGGAAGAGTTCTGATACACTACCACGATGACATCCGTTTAAGGCAGACCAATACAGTTAACTGTCACGCAATACGTGTAGCTTATATCTAACTGTATCTTAGTATGTTGAGTGTATTGTAATGTACTTTTGTAGGTCGACTCAATTGAAGGTGTATTCGGAACTGGGGTAGTTTACCATGGTTCATACTGCACAGTAAATGGTTTCGTAATAAACCATGTGTGTTCATGGAGTAACAGGTGACCAAAAAGCAAAGCAAGTTTATTTTTGTAGAGTCCACAGCTCCAGATCCGAGCATTTGCCTCGAAAACAACCTTCTTTCGTCAGCTCTGATTCAAGATGTCATCATTATAAAGGATTTTGATCCAGAGTATCAACCACAGCCTTCAGAATTGATTCATACACATGAGAAAGAAAAAGGCAACTGACCTATAATATTTAATTTCACTAACAAATAACCACTTCTTGGGATTACTTAGTAAGTTTCTCGCGAACGAATTGGATTCCTGTTCCACTGTGCCCTCAATAATGAAAGTAATGAGTCGCAAAGATGCCGGTTATCAAGGACTGTGCAGTTACACTGAATTATATTGTGTTTAGAGTTGCATCTATGAAGAAGCCCGCAAAACATTTGGAACGACATTTGATGATACGATTTCACTGTTTATTTCATGGTCGAATCTGTTCAGGCATTAATGTCGCCCGCACGGTTGGATAAGATTATCCTGAGACTCACAGTGAAGAGGAAAAGACTGTGTAACTTGTCTTTGAAAAAACTGAGTGAGATTTATAAGACTGTATTTCAAAGTAAGGGACATGTTGAGCCAAAGTTTTATTAAATCCAGAATAACAAACGAAAGGCAACTTGTGGCTAACTTTCATATCTATCCAGAATGGTCACTCTCGTACATTAAAAGGAGAAGTAGGACTGGAAATTAATTACCGTCTTATCTGTCGTGTGGCGACTTCAAGCAGTTAAAGCAGAGTCACCTAGCAGAAATAGAGTTTCACTCCATCTACTTTAAAGAAATCTCATTACATTCAGATGTGACTATTCTGACCGTCGTTGCCATAAAAGCCACTTTGATGGTCTTTGCGTACATTACAAAGATGGCAGTCTTTTGGTCACTGTGTAACTTTATGTTCGGAAAATCCTCTGTTCATGATGACTTGCGACTAAAACTGTTATCTTACTTCATAGACGTTGCCGACAGGGTTCTTTCTTGCCAGACGTGGCTACTGAGAAACGGGAATGAGACTGTAATTGGTAGTGTCCGAGGCAAGTAGCAGGTGACTAATCTCATACTATCCTCCCGTTAGACTGGTATAATTACTAGGGAATCCAAGAAGATTGTCAGAAATGGAGTATCAGTCACGTGAAACACCATCGTCTTTTCATATCGCTATAACATAACTTCCGTGCTTCTACCATGACTAAACTCCTTAAAAATGGGTAGCACCTTATTATACCAAACTGCTCTTAGAAGTGTTTTTTGACTTCAACGAGACTTTCGATAAGGTTTAGCATGCTGGTGCATGGAGGAAGCTTTCTAGTTTTACGCCTAAAACTGTGATGTAGGCTTCTTTCAATGACTTTTTATGTTGTGGTTAAAAATGGTGGGAGCGAATTGCTTCGAAAATATAATCGGAGTTCCTAACCCCCTCTTGATCTTTATCAACAAGGTCCCTGATATGATCAAGCCTCCGGTGTTATCATTTTCTAATGATATAAAAGCATGTAATTTTGTAGTAACGAGGCTGACAGATACTCAAAACAAATGAAACGAGATGAACAGGTCTATTGGCTTGATAGTTAGTGCTTAGAAGGTAATTCTAGTGAACAAGCAGGTATGCATATTAGTCACACCATTTGTTATTACCATATAATAGGTGGAACATCAGTACTGGGCCTTCAAGATGTTAAAGATTTGGAAGTTATCGTAAATCGTGATTAGATAGCGTAACTAATACACAGAATAAACGATAGTAGCACTCTGATCCCTTCACATAGTTTCCAGATGTTTCGATAGAGAGGTGTTTTGGATATGTCTTGCATGTGCGATCCCTCCTGAAATACTGGATTAAGGCTGCCAGTCTCTGCTTCATAAAAGATTTGAAGGCACTGTAGATCGTTCAAAAAGTTAGTCCAAAATTGATAGCTAGTTTGACCAACTCATCATATGAGGGTCATAAGAAACCATTTAAATCTGTTTCCATTATAATACTACAGGAGGGAAATGATCCAAAACCAACATTCTGTAAACCTAATAATGAAAATCATACAAAAATGTCTTAGTTTTTCCCCCCTCACAGATCAATTAGTTTTAAAATGATAGTAAAAACAACTTTGCTTGAGTCTACGCTTCGCATAAAGAGCAGTCTACAGCTGAAACTCTCTACAAGGCATGTGTGCTCAGATTCTTCAGCAAAAACACATTCAGCTATAAACCAGGTTTTCAGAGAGTAACCCACTACAATGGCTAGCACAAACCAGACTGGTCGGCTAACCATGTAACTGCAGATCAAATTTTCGTGCATTCAACATTAGCGTAATGTTCACTCAACAATAAATAGGGACTGACGTATTCTTCTTACTCTTATCGTTTGGGCTATATCGTCAAGTGGAACACTATCTAACATACTAAGATCACATAAGCTATGACTGAAAGTTTGTTTCCAAATAAAGGTATGAACCATCAGTACTCTTCGTTAGAGCAGGTGAAAGTGGAGGGATCCTATCTTGTAACCATTGGTATTCCCATCAACTTGTACAGGATGGAAAAAAGTTTTTGGATTTCTGAATACTACAAAAATCTGTCTTGTTGAAAATTGACAGTTTTCCGGTTATTATTTCGACCTAAAACTTTAAAAAAAATAGCACCTGGAAGAATGAATAGGTTGCTGAATGTTAGCGTACTTTCAATCCTAAATAGATATCTGCATACTTTCTTACCTGGTGGCTTTGCATATAGCGACTGAGTTAACAGACTGACAACAGTTGAAAATGTATTACAATAGAATTACCGCACTTCACTTACCCAAATGAAAAATAAAGATCCGAATTCTCCACGAACATCAATTTTCCAAAATGATAAGCGAGACTAGTTTTGAGATCTAAAGACGAAAAGTTATTCCGAAAACTGGATACCTCCTTTATATCTACAGGGTCGGAAATTGTATCTTATGCAGTATGCATGAAGAAATCCCAACAAAAGCATATGAAAAGTATGGGCGCAATGTGGCATATCACTCCGAACAATCTGCCTCAGAAAAGAGGTTGCTATCAATGACTACAAGAAGTATTAACCGCACCAGGCAGAAATTGATTAGGTATTCAATACACTGAAGCATTGTTACCGGAACGAAATTTCCAGGAAATGAAGTTTCGGAATCAACAATAAAGTTTTTTATTTCGTATGAAATGGATGTTCAAAGTATGTTGGCTTTTTGAATAATTTGTGTAACAGGAAATAAGATTAGTTTGAAATTATCCTGGTGACAAAAGACACTTTCACCATCACAACAAACTCAAGGTTAATATGGGCACTTATAGTTTTACTCCATCATTTCTGTAAGTAAAATCATATGTACCTGACTACACCAAACTAACAGCTTCACGAAAACAGAAGAACTAGTTGACACAATTTGAAAAGTTGACCTCAACTGCAAAGAAAAACCATTGTGTAGGTCATTTGTTGAAACTGCTTTCAGCATCGTCATATATTGAATAAGAATGAAGATATAACAATATATCGTAATTTGTTGAAAACTTTCATTCCAAATACAGGCAAACTTTTAAAAAGCGTGGAACAGCAGCTGTTTATTTCGCAGCCCAATGTAACTCAGGATTTTGCTGGTTTTCAGCAATGGGTGCAAGAACACTGCGATTGCCAATTATTACTGACATCAAACATAAGGGAATGCATTTTATCATCATGGATTCACCTTCTAAAAATAACGTGCCTTATTTTGTGGAGGTATTTAGTTGTTCTTAAGGTATTTACGTTTGCAATGTGTATAGGAATGTTGCAAGCTTAACGTTTCGGATGTTGTCCGGGTCTGTGAGGACCGATATCCTGTGGAACCTTTCGAGAAAGCCGGTATATGTGTCCATGTGTGTTTTTTTTGTTCATGTTCTGATATTAGCTTTCATTTCGTTTTCATGGTAATGTTTTCAAAACAATGTTTCCTATGCATCAGAAATAATTTGTGATTAGTGAAAAGATTATTTGAAAAACCCTCTTAAATCCCTCTTTTTTTCCCATAACAGTCAAGATTTTCGCGGGGCAAAACACGGGGCATTTTTCAGGTTGCAATGAAAACACCAGGCACAACGCGGGATTGTGTAACATTTCTCCGAGTTTATGACTCCTGTGCTTTGCCCTGCGTTTCATCCTGATTCGTCCCGCGAAGTGTCCCGTACCTTTTATTCCCCATGAAATGCCATGCGTTTCCTCGCGAAAATGTTGACTGAAATGTGTTTATAAAGTTATGCAACTTTTTGTGATCAGTGGTGATTGTTTCTGGGATAACTGCAACTTAATCTGCTGTTTTTGACTGTTACTTTGAGCCGTATATGGGGGTGTAGACTGCCTGGTTAAGGTTATTGATACAATGGGGACCCATGGATAGACCATTTGAACTATTTGGAAACCTCAACTGACATAACAATAATGCAGATGCATTCACTCTTTGACGTTGTCACAACTTTGAAAGCGCTAAAACGCCTATCCTTTTCATAAATATGTGTTCATACTGATTTGTCATCCTCCTGGTATAGCATATAGCCAAGGCCATGATCTCAACAATACATGTATTCGAGTGACGTTTATCATTGTCATACCACGTAGCTCTTGAAGAATCCAGCACGAAATCTTGGTTTCATATATCGCTAACGAAGTGAGGTGGTACTGTGTTTAACAACAATTTTTTGGCTGAAATCGAATATCTGTCTCTGAAAATATGCTTTAAAACGACAAACTATCAATCCAAGCACAACTTTCTATCATATGCTATAATGTCCCTAAGTCCCACTTCTTCCCGAGGACACTTCCTGCTTACATACGTGAGAAACATTAGAAAAATCAGTTGGTACATGTGATTTTTTACAAGCTTATAACGTGTCTGAGTCGTGGTAAATTCCATATGACCTCAAAAAAGCTAACCCGAAAAGTGAGAAGCTAAGGTAAGTTGAATTAGGTTAGAACAAGACTCATGTTAGACATATCAAGACGTGGCAACAGTCCATGAAGCCTCTTAATGTTGGTCTGAGCCGTGTAGAAAAAGTAGTGTACCTGGTTCTGGTCCCCAGCACAACAAGAATTAGTGGTTGAGGACTCTTGGTAAAATATCTGAAAATCGGTCTCAGTGACACATATGTATTCACTCTTTGACTTCTTGTAAAGCTTGAATGTTCCCACTGACCTTTACCTTCAAACTGCTTATTCTCTCACACAATTTTGTTCACTCTGGTATCACTATTTCTATCATCTTGTTTTTTGCATACTACTGTTAAGTGTGGTAACTTGAACCGATGCACTTTTGTGCGAGGTTCTACGTTGCTTCTGTCTGTTTATGTCTGTCGTTATTCAGGTAGATGGTGTGATAGAATCAACGTACAATGCCGCACGAAAGTGCATCGGCACTTCACTACAGCATCCAAAAACAGGTGAGTAGAGAAAAAGTGATATAAAAGTAGACTGGTGTGTGAGGGAAGGAATTGAATAGTCAAGGTTAGTGATATTATTCGGACTTTTGAAGATGTCAGAGTGAATATATCTGCACTGTTGTTTCTAAGCGTGCTTGTCACATATCCCAACTACTTGAGTCGGTAAGGACTCCTAACTTTAATAATTGACTTTCCCCTTCTCTCTTACTCTATGCACTTGAATCCCACGTTGCACGGGGTGACACCAGGACACATGGTGTTTGCTATGAAGGCAACGGTCCTCAAACACCTAAAGTCTTCTCATGTCTTTTACCTTTTATGGGCATTTCACAGCTATATAGTAGAAGAGAACGAACTACAAGGCATTTCACCCGACTCTTAGTAGGCAACTGTGCATCATAGTGGCGCAAAAGATGGGTAATTTGATGAAGGCCAAACTAGTTTTTTTTTACCCGTGCGTTGGTTTCGTCTATCACTGACCCACCAGGGCTGTTCCGAGTGGGAAGAAGTAGTCAACGGGCTCAACCACTCCTTATAGTTAAGCAAGGCTCCACTAAAGGCAAATCCTGGAGTGACAATCTGCATTTGGGAGGAGGGAAATGCATCTTGAACATTCATAAGTCTCTACTTATGATGTCGAGTAGATTCTGCATGGTGCTAGCTTCATCAACTAACAGGAATATGTCATCTGCGTGGCTGAAGGACAATTGAAATTCTTCGTACTGCTCTACCCAGCGTTTCAGATACTTGTCATGGGGAGTTAGGGATCTATCCCTCTTGATGACGGTTTTGCTGATCATCATCACATCAGTCTCTCTAATGAGCCTGAGTAATTCCTGAGTTTGACCTAGGGTCCATGCCCTCCTCATTGATTTTCCTACACACTACTGCTCGTGATCATTACAAATACCTGTAGTTTACACCCCAGCTTCTTTCCCTCCTCATCTTAATCAGGGCCAACTAAAATGAGCCTTCTCGCAACAATCAGTTTAATTGAGTTTGCACTAGCCTTCGTTAATCCTTGTAAGTAGGTCACTAGTCGTCCTCACTGCTGTTTGCGTTGCAGATTTGATGTTCAGTCAGGCCACATCAAGAAGTGAATGGCTGCCATGTCCAGATAAATGCGTAGCTACCTTCACTTTGAACTTACACTTGATGTTTACATTCGTTAGTCAAGTACACAGAGGCTCTGTTGCTGTTTGTTTTCTGTATCCTTGAAGGTGAAATCGTTCAGGTGTCCCAACAAAACTATTATCAGTATCAGCATGTACTCAAGTGAAGAGCAGCAATCTTTCATGAACCCTCTCTAACAACAGCTTATAGAGATCTGACCTCTGTCCACCGTTTACCGGATGTCGGTGAATGCCAATTGTGACCATATCTGTCCTTTGAAGTCATTTTGATGCAGGAACAAGTGATAGTCATAAAAAATTAAAGAAGGTCGTTGTTATCGGTTCATCGGCAAGAAATTCTTTTGGTGCTTTCAAATTGTTTTTCTGATTGACTCAGCTTCTTCTCAGGGACTTGTCTGTGTATGTAGTATTCCTATTCCCATAATATACTTTCGAAAGAGATGATTTTATCGGTACATATCCGAAAATACAAAAGCAAGTATGTCTGACATCACTCCGCTTCATTTGTGTGATTAGGTCGAAAACGTATGTTTTGCAGCTTACGCTTTATTACGATCCTAAGAGCAAGCTTTTCCTCTCCGTGTTCATTATAGGTGTAAGCAGTCAAATGATGTTCCTTCTTTTTGCTGTACGTTCTTCATGTTCTGTAGACTTTCACTTCTTCCGCCTGTCCACCTACTACCTATGCTTCGAACTTGATAACAAACATGTCAAGGCAACTGAAACCATTAACTTATTTTTTTGGATAATTCATTGGTAGTATTTTGTTTGAAGTCGCAAAACATTTTTTATTCGCGAAAACTCTAGCAGTCACATTACGATCACAGTATGTGTAGTGGCGTATTCAGTCACTTCACTCTTGAACTGATGATCTGCGTGCAGTTGTATTAAAAAGCATATGCTGAAGCATATTCAGCACCACTATGCGTGCATGAGGAATAACAGCGATTTTGTATTGACTGTCTTAAACATTGAGTTCTGTCAACGCACTGTATTTGACTACTACTTAACTGAATTCAGCGCTCACTAAGTTATTTAATGCCCCTCTGTATGCCTAAAGTTCCATTCCAAGAGCCAATATCTCTAGCAATTAAGCACCAGACTGATGGTGAAAATGCTACATATTTCTTCACTAGGTTCTTCGTATTTACAGGTTTAGTAAAATCACCCACTATATCTTTACATCCAGTCTTTTACCAGTTTCCACACATACGTCAATTTTGGGTGGACTAGTGGAGGCTACTACTAAGCGTCAACTTATATTCTGCTTCTCGTGTCATTCGACTAGTCAACTTGTTGGTCTACATCAGTGAGTTCTGGTTGAAAACTTCAGTCCATTTTAGCTCTTGATTTTCTAACCGCAAAGTAGCATAAACTATAGTTAGTAGGTGATGCTACACTGACTAGATGATATCCATGCTTTAAAGTTTGTTTTTATATCTTGCCAATACAACAGATCCCTATATTTTCAAATATTAGAGCTTTGTGTTTATTTCTGAAACATAACCACGGCTTCTTTGCTTAACATGTAGCCTACCAACTATAAAACCTTAGTTCGTACATGCATAGTGATAAGAAACCAACAAAATGAAAATAAAAATCCGAAAAAATGTGTCACTATTTGTGAAATGTCAAATTAAATATAGAAAAAAGTGGAAGCAGGGGATCGAAATAATCATATCATAGGACTCCCATAACTTAAAGTAGTAAAGAGCATTGATGTTTGTATACAGTCACTTTATCTGTCTTATATTCCGGTTGTTTGACGAAGTTCATTCAGGAAATTTACAGTTCCGTGCACGAATCAGTCACAGACATTATGAAGTGGTACTTTACCTTAGTTTTGTCACCTTTGGCCTTTTTCCATCGTATCTTACTCCAACTAACATTGTCCTATTGAAGCAGATTCAAACAGGATATGTGTAACATGTTTTCCAACGGTGTCATCCTCTACCTTCCTCGATTCTATCGACTGGTTCGCCTATTTTGTCTGTCTCTCTACACCGTTTACCAGTTTTCAAGCTTGAGAGTTCTATTGAATGAGTCAGAATTTGAGAGTAGTGGTGGTAAGAAAAATGTGACCATCACGTATGTTTCACCTTCAATGGTTACATTTGACAGGTGTGTGGTAAATTACAGCATACTACAGTCAGCTTTCGCTGGGTTTATGTATATGACATACTTGATGAAAATACTATAGAATTCAACCTTGCACATGCTTCACATACTACACTTAACCACGTGTTAGGGTTTTTGATACTTTCAGGTTGTCCAAACCAAAGTATTGGAAGCAGGCTTTAGACCTGAAACCCACTGCTTGCAAACAAAGTGTTTAAGCCAATGGACCACTGCTCCACACATATTCAAAAGCTAGAGAAATGTTTTATATAATCTCAAAAATACCTGCATGTTCTGAATCAGATAAGCGTTATCGAAGTGTAACAATGGGTTGTATATTTATGATATCTGAAATGACCGTAAAGGCTAGAGTACAGACTTTTTGTTACCTTTAGGTTGAATAGGAACCAAATCAGTCACTGGTGAATACTTCAGAGTCCTGCATAGTACAGGGATCTAAGCGATACGTTTCTCATCGAACCCAAAGTTTTCATGTGTTTTTTTTACACTAGTAACTCTGGCAACGAACCAACCAAGAACCCATCGCTCAACAAATATGCAGAAGGAAGTGGAGATGGGTTGGACCAGGCATACATCGCGCGTCATGCCCTTGAGTGGAACCCCCTATGGGAAGCGACGAGTTGGGCATCCGTGGGTGACATGGAGGAGATCGGGTGAGGAAGAAACGAAAGCTTGTTAGCTGTTGTGGAGTCAGGTTCAGAAGACTTCAGAGAACAGAGCGCAAGGGAGATGTACTACTGAAGCCCTATGTTCCATTAGGAACCCAAGGGACAAATAATATAATAATAATAAAGTATATCGTTAAACGCTTATTGACTGTATAATTTAAGTAACTATAATCCTATCACGTTAGGTCAGTTGTTTTGCTTTTACAAAATGGAACGATCAGTGATCCACTTTTTTCTGACATAACTAATGAGTGCCTTTTATGACTTCAATAATTTCACGATTGTTATCATAAAAATAGTCGTCTCTTACTCATTCATCTCGAATGAAATATCATCTGATAATAATTCAGGACTTAGATTCTTTTTAAACTTAAAGAAATGCCTTACATATTTTTCGTGTATAAAAAATTGGAACTTTTATAACCTACACAAAATAATTGATGCTGTCACACGGATTCGAATCGAATTAAGGTTTGGGATAACTCAACACCTGCTTGTTCTTGTACGTTTGAGAAGAGTTTTACAATTCATTTGAAATCTTTAGTATGTTCTAGATATATGTCTTACCAGCATTCCTTTCATTTGTTCAATACATGATGACTATTATCTCTGTATGATAATAAAAATCGACTTCACAATGACTTTTTGTCAAGTTCAATAATTGTAATGCTAAAAATATTTTCTTATCGTCTCTGTTAATACAATTTTAGCATTGGGAATTTAGTGATGGTTCACCTCCACCTGACAGTGTACTTACAGAATGGTTCACTCTTCTTAGAAATCGATTTTATGGTGAGAACAATCGTGTTCATGATGATCCAAAAAATGTGACACGTGGTCCAATCGCTGTTCATTGTATAGCTGGTTATGGAAGGTGAGTTTGGTGATTAATTTTTGATTTGCTACTTATTTTTCTTCAGCGGTAATTGCTGTGAAATAAATTTTCGTTCGAGTTGTGTCCATAAAGACAGATAATATCAACATAGTACCTGGCACTATTGCATAGTGGTTCGAGTTGCTACACCTAACATCAGCACATCAGACCAGAATACACTAAGATGAGAGAAGAAAAAGGAAGCAGTCAAAAGTGGTCGAAAGTCATCAAGAGAAAGATAGGAGGAATAAGGGCATACTGAAATGCAGTAAGACAGTTGAAATGAAAATAATATGTTGATACATATGAACCACAACGATTAATTCTGAACCATATCACTTAAAGTACCAAACCACTGCTTTCTACTGTCACAAGGACCCCAACCAGCAAATTTCCATTCATGTACAGGGCTCAGATCAATAATCAAAGACTTCTTGGACTGATGTCCTGTTTGACTCTGACCACCTCTAACCTTTTTTCAGCCTGAACCTACTTCAGGTGCCATCGCACCACGAGGCAGATGGTTACTAGGCATGCGTAACACATATCCATGGTCTGAAATGCTATCAATTTGTCTAGTGAAGCTTGTTGGTCGATCTGTCTGAGGGTGTGGACATTGAAAGTCCATATATGCAGTTTGTGGCATGGTTTCTAGAGACCAGGTATGTTGTCCTATAAACCTGAATCGTTACCAAGAGCTGCAGAGCAGAAAAAAATTACGGATGACGTAGGAGTATTGACCAGAAAATGTGAAGAAAGGTGAGAAGACACATACGGAAGGTTGATGTTGGTCTAAAGGAACTTGAATGCCGACAGAGTTTTGAAGATGTTTGACACTTCCCAACTACTGACACCGCGGGAAGCTACTTCTTCTTGAAGAACCTGAAAAAGAAATGCTAGTGTGTGACTGCAGAGCTTAATGGGCATCTGCTTCAAATCGGTCACATACAGCCTCTTTAGAAGTGTGATAGTTTAGTTTGTTGTATGCAAATCTGACTGTCAACCCATATCGCTGGCACAGTTATGAAAAATCAAGGTTGTTGCTCTTAATACTAATAATAATAATGATTTATTCCTTTCTATTACTTTAACCAATTATTTACCACCGGTCAAGAAGATATACACTGTTAGAAAATTAATCTGACATAACAATAAGCATTTACTTATGTATTTGAGTGACGTACATGTTTGAGATTTTATATTGATCAGAAGTAGAAGTTAATTGAGACATTAGTAACCATAGTGAAAATGTTGTTCACTGATTTTTAACACTCGGACAGTAAATCCCAGGATCGAACCACTACCCAATTTATTTCGGTCTGAGTAATGGAGTGCTACTATACGCCTCACAAAAAATGTAACTTATAATCCAGGAGATATGCGCCTGTACTGCGTTAGTTTAATTTAATAACTAAAAATTATTAACCATAATCTGTGTTTTGCTGAAAGTGTTGTACATGTGCAAACTATTGTTAACACGAGGTTCAGTGTTAGTCTAGTCTAACGGGGAGGTGTATATACCTATAGTGGGTGGTCATACCAAGATGTTTCTTCAGTGCATGAAGTCTCTGTACTGTGTAGGGAGTTGTAAACTGCTTGGTATGGGTCCTCAAGACGACAGAAATCAATAATTGGAGACCCTTGGTGATATAATGCAGATGTCTTCACTCTTTGACACCTACAGAAGTCTGAACACTATCATTAACTTTGATTTTTAGATTCATTCTCCTCCCAAACACCTTTGTCTAGTTTTATATCACTCTTTCTCTACTCATTTGTACTTTGTATGCTGAAGTGAAGTGTGGCAAATTGAACCGACACTTTTGAGCGAGGGTCTACTTTGATTTTGTTTGTTTCATATGCCTGCAATGCAACGAATGGATCAAGTTAACGAATATTAAAGTACTTTTTGTATTACTAGGATGACGAAAGTGTAGTTATGGCTACTTAAGGGAATTAGAACGTTACCTTCAAATTAACACATTGTCTAAGTTTGCAAAGTCAAAGGCTTGGGAAGTGGTCCGTTAAAACGTTTACCTACTTCAGTCTGAGCATCCTAGCAGTATCATAGCTCATATACAACCTATGAACCAACATTATTGATGAAGACTTCAAAACGCTCACCAAATCGTGAAAAAACGAAGTTAATCGCTCAACAAATTTTCTACTTAATCATTCAACTTACTATCTTTATATCATCGTTACTTTTGTACCTGTCTTTTCGTCAACGTTTTGAAGTATATTCTTATGTATACTTTCGTTCCACTCAGTGGATTCCCAGAGAATTACACACAAGATCCCAGTGAGGTGCTGCGAATAACTTCGCTATCTGTCAGCTCAAAAAATGCGGTCACATCTGGGGACCCCGTAACATCAGCATTCGGCTTTGCTAAAATTAGTGTTGGAGTAAGTTCTAGAGACGAAGCTGTATTTCCAGACTGGACCCCCATCAATACTCGTCTGTATGTCGTTAGATACGTCTGAAATGGTCAACGTAGTCAAACTAGTTGCATCTAGTATTGAAACTAAGTACAAAACTAAGCAAAGTCCCAGAAAGCAAATTTGAGCATTTGCTGCACTTACAAGACTCCATGAAAACGCAGCGTGTATTTCAATAATAAGCACTAGGTCTTTGTAAGCTGTTTGCAATTTCTTGACGCTCGTTGGTGTATTCCGACAGGTAGTAATACAGTGGTGTGTATAAGTTTCTTCGTGACAGATCAAGTAGCACTTGCCTATGGTTGATGGGGTCTGTTGATCAGAAGGCATGAGCAAAATGAAAACGGCAACGGTATCTGGTAACGATCACAGGCCGTTATAGCTCATGCAAGCCACCAACAGCTAGAAGTCTGGTGTCAGTGAGGTCTATAAATTGGATAGTACACCAATCACCGACTTTCATAGACGCCTAGAAGGCTGCGCGTAGCACTTTGGAATGAAACTCAGTTGATCTTCTGCTACAGCAACATTGAATTCAGTGTCTTGTTTTCTACAATGAACTAACACCGACCAGCTCAATAAAGTGATGTTTCTGAGGTACTCTATAAGAGTGAGATTGTAGTTAGTTGCTTGGGAAATATGGCAGATTGAGAGTGTTCCACCACTCTGGAATGAAGCCATTGTTGTATCCATCTTCGAAAAGAGTCTGATTTATGTGGGTAATAATCATCCGGATATCAGTTGGCTACCCGTGTAGTCTTAAGTATCGGATGCTATCATAATTCACAGGTTCTGCGAACCGTAGGAAATACTGATTCGCCAGGAGCAGGCTGGGTTTCTTGCAGGTTGCGGATTCATTAACCACGTGATCATCCCCCCTCCCCCCCCCCAGTTGTTCGAACTCTCACACGTATTATAGGTCAATGGTCCCTCCAATTCTTGATATAAGAGTTACCTCCGATTTTTTCGACAGTGGTGTACTATGGAATTCTGTTGGACAGGGGTATTCTGAGAAGTTTGTCATTGTTTGCAAAGTTCTATGCAAGGTACGTCAGGTAGGGGTACCCAACTTCACCATTCCTCTTTAACTTTCTCGAGACAGCCCTGGAAGAGGTGCGTGGTGGTCGCGTAAACTAGTCGCCAAATAAAAGACTTTTTGACCTCCACTGTGAGGACGATATTGTTTTTTTCTGAAACTACATATAGGATACTGGATCTGTAAGTATGATATATTTCTCATATTATGGGAGTTTAAAGTCCTACTACAAGATTGACAGAAGCCTGTCCCTGCATTCATCCTTGGTGGTGAATTGCTGGAAGTTGTCTAAAAATTTTTGTTCCTTGGTAGTTTTTCTAATTGAAGGTGTGACTGATGAGATTTGCAACCGCCATATCGAAAGCCGAAGGTGTATGCCAACTTGAGCGACTTTTCTACCATCATTGCCTTAGAATACCGGTGAAGGCTGGGTGTACAATGCGTCAATGTAGGCAGGTCTTCTGTATGCCTGCGAAGCCTGACCACTTCGAAAAGCGGAAGTCCTAAGAATTCACTTTTTTAATCCCTGCTATCTCTGCAGTATTCTTCGTACCTGGTGGGGGAACACTATATACGTAATTCTAAAGTAATGCGGGATGTCTGGGAGTGATGGATATTGTCATCCATTGAGTGTGGCTATCTTGAAACACAGACTTCCGCGGCCCGGATATGTCTTACACATTTCATCCCAGCGGCTACTTCACTGCTTCCTTGTCCTAGAACTGGTTGGAAGAAGGATGAGAGGTGATCAATGTGTGACTTGTCGCCGTGGGATTGAGGATATCATCTTTAGGTGTTTCACTACTACCTTGATGGTTTCGAGAAATTATGCAAACCAATGGCATGAGAAAATAGAAGACATGACTCACAATCTACACCACTGATGATCATGTGGTTTTCTTGTTTCTTCTATTACTGGAAAGTAGGACGGACGTATCTTTGAAACTGCTTATTTATTAACCCACTTCTGTTTTTCATCCATTCTTTCGTGCCTTCTTGGTGTTGTTTCATCGTTTTTATGGCGCATCTCTTGGGGCCTATATTAGGATTACGATCCATCTTGGACTGACATCAGTTTGAGAGCCACTGAAAGCTGGGGTGCACTAAATAGCTGTTTCATCTGTGATGAGTACCACTTTGCAATCAATCAATCCCCACAAACTACCAGTTGAGTTACTGTTCAGTACTGATTAGTGTATTGCTTCGAGATGGATTTCCAGATATCCTGATGAGAAACCATGGCCTGTGGGGCCAGTTAAATCGGGTATGAGAACAAGTACACGCCGATAGCGTTGCAAGATAATCGTTCTATATCGCTAGTTGGTAGGCAGGAAAATGTGAATCATTAGATTCAAACCAATTAGCTGAATGCTAATGTGCTCACTGTTATGCCCGATGGTCGTGGTTTCAATCCCTAGTCTTTTCATGCGCGTACACTTCTGAGGATTCCCATACTAGGACGAAACAGTTGTCTAGTACTGTCAGTTTTTCACTGTATCTTCTGCTTATTTCATACCATGATGAATACTTTCTTAAAATCAATCTTCACAAACTACCAGTCGACGTATAACTTTCTGCGTTGACCTTACTGATCGGTCATTCAGCAGCCGTTTCTGGATCCAGACTTTTAATTCTGTGAACATTCAAAATGTTGTAAAGCGGATCGACATAAAATACTACGTTTTCTAACCTTTCCGGGTTGACTGTTTGAGAAATATTTGTATTTTCCAACTGCAATAAAATTGTATACAATCCCTACTTTCTTTGATATCCGCTGTTTATGACACTTGGTGTCTTCTATGAAGTACTTTGGTTTCTGAGATTTCTCTAGATTTCATTTGTTTAATAGGGGCTAGAAATATAACCGAAGACGCCTAGTCCATATGTGTTGGATTCCAGTCTCATGAAGAACAATCATTGACTGCGATACAAAGATATGTCGCTGACAAATTGCAAAAGGGAAAAAATGCATGCACTGAATTATACGGTTAGCCATCAATAAACAGCTGATGTCAAAATCACAATCATGAAGAATATTGTGAGTGATGTTGTTTGCACGGTATTCGGACTCGGGAGAGGTCGCTCCAAACGCCAGAGCGTTATCCACTACACCATCGAGGCATATGCGCAGGAGCCCATATGACAATAGAGATCGATCAATTCGGTCCAATCAACGACGGCATAACACAAGCAATTATACTAAAAACTATACCCGTCTCACAAGAAGTGGCTATCATGGCTCTGTGGTGCAGTGGATAACGCTCTGGTGTTTGAAACGATCTTTTCCGAGTCCCGGTGGGAACAACAGCACTCATTGGGAAACAGGTACATCCAGCTGACGAGTCCCAAATGGAACGAAATGCGCATCCTGGATTCCACTGCTAGCCACTATCCATCATTACTATAATCTTAAGTTGTTTATTTTACTGAATAACTCGTTTGTTTCATATAGCTGTATGATTCTATTGTCCGAAGGATGGTATAACCATAAATCTGAATACTAATCACTAGCTTGTAGTGAAGATTTGTTTACAAATCCTTAAGTGACCTTAACCTAATTCAACTTTTTGTTGTTATACCTTTTATTTTTGTCTTCACTACTGTAAATACTTCATTGAATTGATAGTAATAGTTTAGAGCTACAGTTGGTAATTATCTTTCTATTGTGTGTGTTTCAATCATTAATTTTTCAAAGACTATTTTAAACATCTATGAACGTGTAAACTGCATATTTTCTGTTATAACTAGAAAATGCCGTGATCTGGTCATTTTTCACCCGAGTATCATAGTGCATATCACTCAGTTTCAATGTCCACATTCACCAACTATTGAGTGCACGCAACACAGTGGTTACTGAATTCCAAATATGTTGAAGTACGCATCGTAGATTTCATTGCTAGTTAATATCCCTTACTAACATACAGTTCTTTCTGTTTGAGTTTCATTTACAGCTATGCCATCAAATCGTTAAGCGCCACTAGAAATTACGAGGCTTTACATTGTTCTATGTGAATGATTACTTTCTCCTAACTGTTTATCTTAATATGTTACATCCTTCTGTTCCAGTCACAGAAATGTAATCGTTTCATTTGTTTTGATTCTCAGTTTTGCAAGAAAAACAAGTTTTCATTTGTGTTTGTATATCTGCTGTTAGTGAGTACATGTTTTCATCTGTTATGCAGCGGGTATGCTACATTTATCTCTAGTGTTCACCTGTTTTTATTTTGGTTGAGGCACTATTATCCTGGGCTTGTCTAATAATTAGTGCATAAAAATTATGTTTTAGGCGTCTCAGTGTTGAAATTCGCATTATATATATATATATATATATATATATATATATATATATATATATATATATATATATATATATATATATAATCTTTTTGGATGCATACAAATGTTTATAGGCAGATGTTAGGGAAGAACTTTTAACAAGTTTACAGAGAGGTGAAGAAATTTACTGAACAGCCCATCTGGATATTCTTGTTTTATTCAGTGATATCCATCACAGATTTCTGTAGTACCGTAATAAAAACAGTTCCGAATGAAAACCTTTACAAATGTTATTTCTAAAATAATGGAGTCAATAGTCACTCAGTATCCAACATCCTTATGGGATATTACTTGGATGGAAGTAGGAAGCCCTGCGCCTAGGTTTCATACCTTTCAGCTTGGTGACCACATTGCGAAACGATCGATAGGATTCGATCAACACTTAGAACTTGATAACATGACGTTGGTTACCCTCTAGTGACCGATCAATGTAACCTTGTGTGAATTAACAACTCATTAAACTAGTCTAAGACTTTATTGACAAAAATATGTCATTCGCAGGATAGTGAAAGATAGATATGCTTAGATTATGTCATATTACTTATTTTTTTCAACCTGATGGTGACATCTGGATCTGTAATAGTGTTACCAAGCCATCGGTTATACGCATAGTAAAAACCCATGTAGAGGTTTCAACCTTGTTTGTCAATAACTTTGCCTCTCCTCATTTTCAGGCTTTGGTCACCAATAAGTATCTTTTCAGCTATAACTGAAGTCTATCTATCAAGTCTGTGATAAAGTCACTTCAGTATTTAGATCGCTCTTGGTTTAGTTGTAAAGTCTCTTACTTTGACATTGAGTGATGCTATTTCAAGTCAGCAAGCGAATATCAGTTTCCTCGTCGCTGCAGAATCGTTCTACTGATGAGTTCAGGATTTCTCACCGATTGAATATCACTTATATCCAGCTCGTGGCTAGCTTTCAAACTTCTCTGAGACTCGCCTACATCTTCAAAAAGTGTCAAATCAGGTTATGCCAAAATTAAGATTATTTTACGCTTACAGATCACCCATCTGTTCTCTTGATGGTAGCAGTTAGTTAGTTTTTTCGCGCTGGTTACTGCTTTTGAGTAAGGCTTTGTATGATCCGTTAGGTGTTTACCGTTGACTGGATTTCATAGTGGATGCACAAAACGTAGTTGACAGTCAATAGCTGCGGTCTATTATGCTGAAACTGTATCCTACCACCAACTAGTGCCTCATCAATTATTTAGTTCATGACAAGTTTAATAATTCAGTTTTTACGAGCAGAGCTGATAGTGTAAATTCTCATCAATTGGGCTAGTTAGACATACTCAGTCATCACCCTCTTAGAAGTGATTTATTGACTATCACGAAAATATCTTAGGAAAACCAGAACAGCACTTAGCGGACAAATACTCATTTAAGTTAGGCCAAGTAAATGTGTGGCGTTGGCGAGATATACGTCTATCTATCTGAGGATGAGTATACTGCCGTGCAGTCCGTTCTTTTCTGTATTTTGGCTGTAAGACATGTCCGTTAGAAGTAGAAGACATGAAAAAGTTACAGTTTTTCAACCACAAATGTCTTCATAGCATTGCTTGCTTTTGGTGGGATCACCGTGTGAGTTGAGGTCAGATGAAGGGTAACTGTGCAAGATAGGCAAGTCGATTGATGAGGTTATGAGCGTTAGTCGACTGAGATGGCTTGGACATGTACTGCTCATACCGAGTCACCACCTACCTCGACGTACCATGCCACGGGAAGTTGGATTAGAATGGAAAAGGGTTCAGGGTGGCCAAGTTAAGACTTTGTATCAGTCGACAAAGTCTCTGACTGTTGGCTTGAGCAGTGTAAGGAAATGTAGACAGTCTGGTTGGCGTCTGCAGGACGAAAGGAATTAGTGGTTGAGGACACTTGGTCACATAGTTGAAAACTGTTCACAATGGTGTATATTTATTCAATCATTGACATCTTATAAAGCTTGAATATTTATACTAACCTGTATCCCCGGATTGCTTGTTTTCTCGCACTACTACATCTACTTTGATACTCATTTTTGCCCATCTGTTCTTTGTATACTTCTATGAAGTGTAGCAACTTGAGGTAATGCACTTCTGTGCAAGGTTCTACGTTGTTTTTGTCAGTCAAGTAAATGAGATAATCAATGTAGGAGGATGGTTTTTTAGGTCGAACATTATGTCTACTAACGACTTCATTTACCTTGTAATCTTTTAAAAATTGTTCCGTCATGATGTTACTCTTCACAAACACTGTCTTAACACAATTGCTTTCTCAGTAATAATTAATTACTTGCAAGTTTTTCGAAAAAATATGTAACTTCTAACCACCAACCTATCATACTAAGCTTAATAGTAATCAGTGTGCAAGTTATAAGAGAATACTTCCAATCATAAACATTGATCATCTGTATAGCAATTTTCCTAACTTTATTATCCAATTGCTCTTGTTTTCTCTCCTTTCCCAACATTCCAGGGCTCCAGTCCTAGTCGCCGTTGCATTAATGGAGCTGGGAATGTCTAGTGAAGATGCAATAGAGCTTATTCGCAAGTAAGTACATGTTAGTACTCAGTGATTTTTGTTTTTCACGTGAGAACTAAGTGGTAGAAATTGTTTTTTCTATTTTGTTCCGTGCATCGTTAAGATGAGGATAATGTGTGTATATAATGTGTGTATACACTGACTTCGGTTCTCAGCCATATCACCTAGAGTCAGGCTCCAACCACTGCTACCTCTTGTCCCGCCGACCCAAACCACGCAGTCTGCATCACCCCACATGATTCAAACCAACAGTCAAAAACTCCATACATCGATGCCCCGTTTTAGTCTGTACAACTCGGGCCTCTTCCAACCTGAACCTACTTCGACCAACATTGTGTGACGAGGCAATTGGCGACTAGGCATACGTAACACATGTCCCAACCAGCTATCTCAGTTGATGAAGGTTCACAACCTCATCAACTAATTTACTTCTTCCCCCTAAAACTCTACACCTGACTTCTGTGTTACTCACATGGTGACACCACAGAATACGGCGGCCTATACAACGAAGGCAACGCTGGTCAAACACTTGAAGCCTTCTCATGTCTTCCACCTTCAATGACCATGTTTCACAGCCATACAGTAGAACAGAGGGGACTGCTGTGCAGTACACGCCATCCTTAATAGACAATCGGATATCAAGGTGGCGCTGTAGGTGGTGTTAGTTGGCGAAAGTCAGTTGAGCTTTCTGTATTCGTGTAGAGATTTCATCGGCAACTGAACCACCAGAGTAGAGGTGATCTTACTTCCCAGGTAAGTGAAGTGATCGACACACTCAAGCACTACCCTCTCTATTGTTAGCCGTGGTGGGGCACCGTTGAAGACCAATCCTAGAGAAATAATTTGCGTTTGGGTGGTGAGAAACACCTCCCAAACATTCTCAAATTGCCACTCAAAGTGTTCAGAAGACTCTGCATCTTGTTAGCGTCTTCACCTAACAGGATTATGTCATCTGCGTATTCTAGGTCTAACGAAAATTCTCCTGCGATTACGTCAACCTCTGTGTGATCTGGTAATGTGAGGGAGACCTCCATAAGAATATCTATGATAAAATTGAATAAGGATGGAGAGAGTGGACAGTCTTGACGGACACCACTCGATGAGCATAGTTGCCTAGACATCTCACTATAGGTTCTAACAAGCCCACAAGTGTTCGAGTAGAGCCTTCAATAAGGTGATGTACTTACTTGACACGCCTTTCAGTGAGAGATATTGCCATAAGACTTCTCGATCAACGGAGTCAAATGGCGCCATTAGGTGAAGAAATACATCTATTGTCGGGCGTCGGTAAGCGTGCGTGTGTTCTAAAACTTGGCGCAGTGTGAATATTTGGTCGATACATCTGCAGTCGGGTCTAAAGCCTAACTGGTTTTATTGGGCTTGTTGTTCCCGAGCTCCACTCAGGTGTCGAAGAATTATAGAACCTTGGGTTTTAGATACTATGTTCGTCAGATTAATTCCTCTTTGGTTATCACAATTGGACTTCTCGCTTTTTTTTTGTTTTGGTGAGTGACTGAAAAATCGAAGAGTTTGTTGTATGATGACGCTAAAACTGTTCATATATCACTGATGACCTTAAGAACGGTACAAAGCCCATCTCCAATACTTTATAGTCTTCAGTGATTACTTATCTGAGGCTAACTTTTAATGAAAACTAAATATATATGTGCTAAAATTGTAACAGGAATCGGATGTATGAAAATACCAATAGGATACTAACTGTAAAATTGACTAATAGTTGCAATGAATCTTAACATTTATTATTCATTTTATTATGGTCAAATTGGCAAGTATATTGACCTAATTAGTCCTATAGTACCACTTCAGTTTATGTTATTCTTCAATTCATGCCCTGGTTTCAGTCACACACATACAAACTCTGTTTTTGAATTTGGGGGTTTGTGAGGATTTAAAGATTTTTCAAGTTAGCATTCATCATGGACTGATACCAGTTGGAGGAACATTGGAAACCCGGGAGCACTGGACAGCTGTTTCGTCCTAGTATGCGACAAAAGTTGGATTCTGAGCCAGTGACTCAATGGTAACTCACTGGCCACAGGACCTGAAGGTCGCGGGTTCGGTCCCTGTCAAGGTTTTCGGTGCGCACTGCTGAAGAGTCCCACACTGGGATGAAACAGCTGTATAGTACTTTCTTCAGGTTTCCAACTTTCTTCTAACTGATGTCAGTCGATGGTGAATACCAAGTTGAAAAAACTGCTTTGTTTAGTCATTTAACAAATAATTAAATTGATGAAACTCGCTCGGTCTGATACATTTTTATGTAGTAGGTCATGAGTTCCACTTGTTGTGTTTGGACTTATGAAACTTCCCGTTTTTCTAGGTCGAAGTACATGGAGTGAGGTTCACACCCGAAATGCATCACTTGAAAGTCAAGTCTCTAAGCCATTGCGACATATCTCTACTTACAATCATCCAGCATAGCTGAATTAAGAAGATTAGTCTATATCCCCGTGTAAAATTAAGGATGATTCAGGTCTACATGCGTACAATCATCTTCTGAAGAAAAGTAACTTCACCCTTTTTACATTGTATAAAAGAATTAATAAGATGGTTGATGCAACTATTATCACTAACAGACTCGTGTGGTATACTTTAATAGCCCTATCCACTATCTCTGATAGACAAAGTAAGATTTGAACCAATGATGTTACTGAGCTGAAATTTGCATCATTTAACTAATAGATCTACTGCTTTTAGATTATTCATTAGAGTAATCCTTCTGTTTAAAGAAGCATTTGATTACTCTTCGATCAGACTATGTACGATATTTCTGACCGGCAGATTATTCCTAATGTTGGGTTATTGTTTCCAGTCCTTTAGTGACCTAAGCTTTCACTCAGGATTCATTCATTATACTGAAATGTATACATCAATGCATAACCTAGCATAGAAATGCATCAGTTCAAGTTGCACTCTTTCATAGTTAGCATGTATGGATGGGATGATAATGACATTAAAGTACACACTGGTATTTAACAGGAGATAATCGTCTCACACTGTTAACATTTGAATACTTCATAGATTGATACCTTGTGTTGATCTGGTCACTATTAGCCTTCTTTCGGTTCAGTTCTACTTCAGTTAGCGTTGACCAATCAGGTAGGCGGTGGTTTGATACGTGTAGGTTCACAACCTCATTGACTCTTGTCTTCCTTGTCTAGCATTCTTCGCCTAGACGTTGACATTACTTACATGGTGATCTCACCCATAAACAGTGCTACGAAGATACCTGTAACCTTTTCGAAATCCTACAATCAGAGGCCGTATGACGGTCATAGAATATAACAAAGCAAACTGCTACTCAGTATACCCATCCTCTGATATGTAGTTGAAAAAAGTTCAACAATTCTCTTTCCTGTCCCAACAAAAGGAATGTAGTGAAGGAATTTTGTCCAAAGGAGCTGAATTTAAAGCTGTACATCGAAACATAGATATACTATTTTCAGTTCAACAAATTTCACTGCTAACAAGAAGTAAGAATACTGAGTCGTTTCCTGCTGAAGATATGTAGATAACCAACAAAGGATTGTGTGTATCAGGTATCCGGAATGAGACTTAGAGTGTAAAATCGTCAACCTAAAACCATGGTAAGGTGAGAATGTACAATAACTATATTTCGTTGACAGCATTTGACACTACTTATTAGCCCTCAAAGTATGTTCTACGCATCGTCACGACTAACAACTGGTATTCTGATGAAGTCTATTCAAATCCTTCGAAATATATAACATACAACAGTTCAAAATCAGGGAAGTATTGACTTTACATAAATTAAAAGCCGACTGCGAATGTATAGAAGGAGCATTGTTAGTTTTGTTTTTACACCAGTTATGACATTAAATTGGTCTTGTTCTCCATTCTTAACTTATTCACTACAATTCGTGTGATTATAGAAATTAGGATTCATTTATTCCTTTGTTTGTCCCTTGGGTTCTTAGTGGAACATAGGGTTTCAGTAGCACGTCGCCATTTCACTCTCTTCTCTGCATTCTTTTTAACCTGGCTCCATCACTGCCCACAACCTTTCATTTCTTACTCACACCATCTCCTCCATATCGTCACCCTCGGACGACCAACTCGTCGTTTCGCATTCGAGTTCCACTCCAGGGCCTGGCGTGGCACGTGGTGTCTCCAAACGGTCTTCTCAGTGTATGTCCAGTCCAGTTCAATCCATCTCCACTTTCTTCTGCATATTTGTTGGGTGAGAGGTTCTTGGTTGGTTCGTCGCTAGAGTGAGTTCCTTGTTGCTCATTCTTCTTATTCTGGCCATCTGATCTTCAGTGTCAGTATCGAGTGAGGGAGCTTAGGCGGCAGCTGTTGATGTTTGTGTGCATTTTGTTGGAAATGCTTTACGTAACACCCCTTGTCAAGTCTCTGAACCATCACATGGAAGCACTGACTTGACTGACATTAGTGTTGAAAATCCGGATCCTGCTCACGCTTTATGCTGAGTGCAGTGCAGTGCAGTAGATCTTCACACTGATGTCAGATTAATGTAGGCCTGTCTTGCTGTCTTTCTGATCCTGGCTTCGGCATCCTCGTCTGTGCCACCACCGCCTGAAGTTGAAACGATGCTACCTTGCCTAGGCGTGTGAAAGAGACAACTTCCTTTAGATTTCTCTCATTGATGGTGATTGGTGCTTGTTGTTGTTGTTGTTTGTTGGGTATCTTCATAACGTCTGCCTTCTCTACGTTCACCTGAAGTCGCGTCTTTGCTGCCTCCCTCTTCTGTCAACTTGTTGGTTTCCGCATGTAGATCTTCTAGTTTGTGGGACAAGACATCATTGGTGAAATGGAAATCTTCTAGGGCCTTTTCAGCGGTCCAACCAGCGTATGCCTCTCTTATCACTCCTCACAGCTGTCTGTTGCATGATCCATTCGAGTCTAGTCGACCACAATTCTGGAAGATGATTGGTGATAGTAGGCGGCAACCTTGTCTCATTCCTGTCTTCACTCCAGCGGCATCACGGAGCTTTTCATCGTGAATC